CAACTTTTACCGATGTTGGGACGCGACGCTATATGAGTCCGGAGCAAACGAGGACCACCGATGTGATAAAGGTTTACATTTCGGAAACATTAATCATTGTAACTATTCAGCTCAATCACAAAAAGTGACATTTACAGCATGGGATTAGTGCTTTGGGAGCTGATAGAGAGAAGGTGAAATTAATTGATCAAAAAGTTTAAGCTTAAATCTGATTGTTAGACAAGTTTTCTCAAAATATGGAAAAGAAGATCTCTACAGCATAAATCCTAACGCCACCAATTGATCGACCTGGAAAGTTTTGATTGCACTCACGAGATCAGACAAGTTGTTGAAAGGTTTGTCAGTAAAATCTGTCACTATCCAGATTTAGACTAGAATTTTGTCTCCTAGTTTTACTGTCTTACTGTAAATTCATTTGGTTGCCTGCTTGCCATTATTGTTTCTTTTTTCAGATGTACAGCGTTTGACATGAACAAGCGGCCCTATGCACGCGAGTTGAAGGCATTACTCCCCAAAAAGGTTTCATTCCAAATAAAAAATGACACCTGCAATTGTTAGGAAACGATTACATTGAAGATGAAGCCAGAGGAAGATGAAAAAGAAACCCGCTTGATTAGACCGATTGGCTTTGATGGGACAAAGAATCGGGTCTACATTGAGGGCAGCGGTTACCTCACTCCTCCACACATACACACCAGTTCAACCTCACAATCAGTGGCAGCTCACTCTAGTAAAAGTCCTACTACTTCAAGTTTGTGAATTGAGTTTTACGATCAAAAGACCAAGTTTTAGGTACACCACTCAAAAAGGAGACAAAGTTTCACGGTAACCCAAATCCACTTGACTTTGCTTCACTAAGATCGGAACTAATGGCACGTGATTATATCAAAATTTTAGGCTTTTTAAATTCTAGGAAATAGTTAAAGAAAGTCAACCAACAAGCTCTGTCAACAGTGAAAATGGAGAAGAAGTAAAAAGAGAGGACGCCCGCCAGGATCAAAAAACAAAACGGGATCGCAAGTGAGTACTTGAAAAATTGAAGACAAGTTGCAATGCTAAAACTAAAAAAAGAGTACATGTTAAACTTTATTATGGTTTAGGTAAAGAAAAACTCTACGGGCTCCACGATTGCCAAAAAGCCAAGTCTCGCCTCACTCTTCGACTGATCTCTCAACAGTTTTTCAAATTCAAAAATTTTTTAATGCCTTGACTGTTTAATTCACAAATTACAATTGACGGTGCCCTATTTATTATCAAAATTGCCCCCATTTTTTAAATTTGTGAAATCATCACATGTAGTCTTGGAGAAGGAGGCATGATCATATATTAGGTTTGGTACCTTTCAAAATTCCGCTTACTTTTTTATGATTTTTTTGAATTCTCAAAAGAGCTTTCGTCCCGCTTTTGGCATAAAAACAAACTACAATATTTTTTATATTAAACAATCTTTTCTTTTCGAAATTTCCTCGTTCTTTTTTTGATACTTAAATGAAAGATGAAAATTTTTGATTCGGGCTGCATTCTTTTACGCTTTAAACAAAATCTGCGGCTGAATCGCATCGTAAATTATTTCTGTTTTTGGAGAAGAAAATATTAGCGATAGATGATGCCGTGCATGGTTTCATACGTTTCCAAAGCGTTTCGAAAGGACAATCAATGTCTCCGGGATGAGCCGCGCGGAAAGCATCCTCAGAAGTGTCAATTTGTTGGTGGGATTCGGAAAATGAGCCAACACTCACGACTCGGAGTTAGTGGGGTTATTTGATGTTTCCCTTACTGCAATTGAAAACCATTTGCATCAACTTGAAAAGAAAAATCGAGCGGGAAAATGGGCTCGACATGAACTCTCCCAAAGCAAAAGGCTTAGTAAGTGTGAGCTCATTCTTACTCCAAATATCAAAGGATTTTTTAGTATCGACTTCTGTGTCTGGGGGTGAATTAAAAAAACCCTTTCTCCAAATCAAGCTGAAAACGATTCCCAAACTAGATATTCATGGAAAAGATCCTACTCTGTGTTGGGGAAATGCAAAAGCTTTGGTGCACTACGAAATCCTAAAACCTGGAGAAACTGCGGTATGCCAAACCTTATTCAAAACAATCGGTTCAAGTTAACGAGGCTTGTAAAAGTGGGGCTCTAACTATCCAGACTTGATTGCCCCACGAGGCAAACCAATTTCAATTCGAGAAAATTTTATTTTTAAATTATAAAGCCTAGCAGTAAAAGTAAGAGGTAATAAGAAAATTTCTCTGGAATCAGAGTTGACTGGAGTGACTGTTGGTGTTTTCGGCTTGTTATCGACCTTCTCAACATAGACACGAAGCGAGACTCCTTCGTCGATATTCTTAGGTGGATTCTCCGGTGTCCATTTGATCTGCAAAATTCTTTAGATATAACTTAATTGTATATTTAAGAATACAAATTTTAACCAAATTTTTCCGTTACTCTTTTAACCATGCTCAGAACAAACGGGCACGGTTAGCAAGAAGTATCGAAAACCATCTTCTTACCCAAATCATTTGGGCGTGAGGATTTGATCTATTGATTGGTGTGCTGATTGACTCCGTTATCCTGAAAAACTACATTATTGTCAAAGCTATTGATAGCTTACTCTTCTGTAGAGAATATTTGTCCTTCCTTGTCCATATAAGAAATATTGAGGCAGCCGGATGGAGTTAAACGGATAATTTCGATTACGAATATCACTGGCCACGAATCTTAAAAAAAGTATAAAAACTAAGAGAATAATGTGCAAGTTTTGTCCGTGAGTGAGTGAGTTGTGTCTATGTCCTTTCACTTGATTTAAATACTTTTATATGCTCTTTGATTAGACAAAAGATACGTAGCTGACTCGCTAAATAGCTACCATTCAAAAACTTAACAAATAGTACAAATACAGTGGTCCACAAAAGTAATGCCCCATTGCGATCCAACAGTATGTTTTGTAAGGAAATCTTGCAAAATCGACATTTTAAAAAAAGAGGAGGGTATTTTTACCGACCCATAAGACTCGACTTTTCAAGAATATAAGATTTATCCGTATACATTACATACAAATTAAATTATAAAACAAAAAAAAAAAAAGCTACTTGAAAATTAGTCTAACAGAATAATAAGCCCCATTTGCAAAGAATTAACACAATTTTTAAAAATCAATACTCGGTTGGTCCTCCTTTGCTTTTATTACTTCATTGAGTCGATTCGGCATGGAATCCACGAGATTCTTCAAAAGACTTTGGGGAATAGTGGCCCAGAGACGTTGAATGTGAACCCATAAGGCAGCCTTCGAATCGAATTTCTTTCCCTTGAGTCGTGACTTCACAAATGACCAGATGCTCGCTAACATTTGATATCCGGTGAGTAGGGAGGCGGATTGATCGATTTGACTCGACTTGCCGCAAACCAGCCCGGAAGTCGTGCTCGTGTACCATTTTGAAGAGTCACCACAGTTCCCATCAAGAGCCTTGACTTGTGTTTCGGGTCGTTGTCCTGGTAGAGCATCCATCCAGGAGGCATGGTTTGAGTTGCAAAAGGAAGCATTTGAGTCTCCATAATGTTCTTGTAGGCTACAGCATCCATCGTTGAGTTGACGTCAACTAATGGACCTACTGAAGTTCGTGACATCGCTCCAAAAGAAAAAAAGTCAGGTGACAAAATACTAAAATGGCTCTTACCCCAACACATTATGTTGCCTCCATTGAATTTCACCGTAGGCCGAATGTACTTGAGTGTGTATCGCTTTCAAGTCGGCTGCCCAATAAGATGGTTTCCGTCCGCGTGAAATAAATTGACTTTTGTCTCATCGGTAAAAACAGCACTTTCGCCCAATCACTTATTGTCCAACTTCGGTAGATCCGTGCAAAATCAAGGCGCTGCTTCCGGTGCTAGAATTCATCAGAGGTTTACGGGCAGCCCTTCTTGCATATAATCCAGCTTGATTTAATCTTCGTCTGATCGTTTCCGGCGATACAACCTTGTTAAATTGATCCTCATCATTTGGCTTCCATCAGTTGATGTTTTGTTCGGATCGTTTTTCACCATTTGGATCACGGCTCGATCTTCTTTATGGTTGTGATTGCTCGTCGGCCACTCTTGAGGTCCTCGATGAAGGTTTTTGCCGGCTTGATTGAAAAAATGCGGCGCACTGTCCATATCGAGCAGTTGAAGAGGTTGGCTACATCCTGCTCCCGCATCCCATTTTCCCGGGCCTTAGCAATTTGGAGCTCTTTCGGAGTGTCAAGATTTTTTTGTCAGGGATCTAAAAAAAAAAAAAAAAATCGTTATAAAATCATTAAAATCAATGGGCAATTACTTTTGTGGAGCTAATTTTAGGGGGGAATCTCTTCCCCTCTTTTTGTTGAAAATCTCAAAAAAAATTCATGTTATTATAAAAATAGAATTTCTGTAGTATTTTATAAGAGAAAAATATCCCTGAAATAATATACATGTTTTCAGGAGGAATTTTGCAAAAAAAATTTTGAATGGCAATGGTAGCTTACTTTTGTGGACCACTGTATAACAAACAATAACAAATCGTATAATCAACGGTTTTTACAAAGATAAAACACTTGATTCAGTAAGAACAGAAGATTGACAGCATGAAGAAACGCTGAAATGAATGGCGAAAAGATTCCTTTTATATGTTCTTTGATTGACGAAAAATTCGTGATTGACTCGCTGAATCGCCACCTTTGGCATTCAACTATCAACCTGACTGAGGTGTGGAAAAGTTCACACAAAAAGTTCATTACATTTGATATTTGTGCAGTGCACTTATTGACATTCATTAGATACAAGATAAAACTAAAACCCGATTAAACTCACCACAATAAATTGTTCTCGAGAGAAAGTATCCCTCTTCGATTTCCCGCCCATAACCAGCAAAATGACGGCTGATAAAGGCATGAATACCGGAACAAATTCTTTGTCTCTTCGTCGTATCATTGCCTAATCAAAATTTTTCATTTCCTTACTCAATCTTTTCTTACCTTGGATTAAGTCACGATTTGATCGGAACAAAATCGTTGGTGAACAATTTGGTGGCATAAAGACACTGAAGATACTTGAGTCTAGATATTGTTCGTAAAAAGGTTCTTCGTCTCTAAAGGGATGGATTGCTAATTTTTGTTACCACACTTACCTAAACGTAAGCAATCTTCTGTTTTCAGTCGTAGGCGTTAACTTATTTGGAGCTGCTCCATACCAAAACTCATAGGAACAATTTTTTTCGTTGTGTTCCTACGAAAACTTTATTTTTTCGCACTTTAGTTGCACAGCTTTGAGCTCATTAAAATCACTCACCGAATGTAATTTCTCCAATATTGTAAACCAGGTTTCTTCGGCATTTAGGGAAAAACTGATCCAAAGGGGTTTCTCTGATGGCTCAACGATCATTGGAAGGAGATAGTCAACATTTGGATTCTCATTTAGTGTCTCCAACATTGCCCAACGAAAATCGACATTAGCTGAAGTTTACATTTAGTATTGGGACAAAGATCAGGCTGAGGAGCGCATTTAAAGTACGCTTCTGCCTACAAAACAAAAATAAACATTAATTCTGCTTGATATTGATAATAAAAATGTTGAATTGATCAAGGTATGTATATTAATAATTCAAATATAAATTTTAAAGTTATAGAAATAGCATTCAAAAATTTAATATGATTATTTCACTTATTCATAGAGAAAGCTTACGATCAATCCACTTCAACGGTCGGATAGCTAGAAGTAATGGAAAGTCATTTTGTGCCGCGAACGTGATGATGACTAGCGGAAATTTTACTTGCATCTGACAATGTTGGATAATGCGGTTCGTTTGTTTTAGAGTGCTAAAAGATCTGAGTTAGAACAGATCAAAGTTGCTACCTTTTCGTGCAATTTGCTTCATCTAACGTAGAACGTCGATTATTGAAATAAAACGGAAGCAAAGTTTGACATTGCGATGAATACTAAATACGCTTACAATTGGTATAGAATGGCCCATAATATCTTGTCTCGTTTCAAAAGGACATGGCAAGTGCTTGCCTTTTCCTAGTTAGTGCCAGTTTCCTAATTTTCGATTTAATTGTATGTAAAATGCTCAGAAAACTTACTTTATATGCATGCTCGTTGTCCTTCTCGCAATATTGCACAATATCCATCAGTAAATCATCTTGACAATGTCTCGGGTCGGTCGAGTTTTGGCAATCTTCCGTGGTCACACAAACTCTCGTGTGTTTTCTAACTAAAGAAAGTTGCAAACTATCTAACGTGTTTTCCAGCTTTCTAGATCTCATGGGACTGCGGAACCTTAAGGGCATATTTACCTAAATCGTCAATAAGTCTCCCATCAAGAAGACCCATGGGCCCCATTTCTCGAAGTGTAATGTTGAACGTCCCGCAGTGCAAAACACGTTCCCCCTTGCTGTTTGACCAGCAGGGCTTGCGTCGGCGACAAAACCGTGTATTTGACTCGGATCATCGGGACACCAATTGAACTGAATTTCTTTGATTCATCGAAATTTTCTTATCAGACAAGACAAATTAATTAAGTTAACAGCATGACGGAGCCGTGCCGCTAAAATTAAGACTGTGGCAGACTGGTACTCTAGGTGTGCAGGGCTATATTCAAATTTTTTCCATATATCCATATATAAATTTTGCAAGTTGCAAGTTTACAATGCAAATTGCCATAGTTCACTAACGAGGCTCAATTTGGCGTTATGGGGTTCTGAAATATCCGGTCACTAACGAGATAATCACTATCGAGATTTTTGCTAACGTATTTTACAAGGTGAGGGTAAAAAAAGAGGCCGTAGGCCGGTTTTGAAGGCTGGTGTTAATAAAAATGGTTCAATCTGTTCTCATATCGTAATTTACTCTTCTCATTATGAATTCTTCCAGAATGACGCTGAAAGTAATGGACAAAAAATGTTAAGCAAGATTAGTTGTTTGCAAGTTGAACGATTTTAGGAAATGTTAGCCGAGAGAAACACTGTTAATTTAGGGGTAAATAAATTTAAGTGGCTTTTTAAGGAAGAATCAGAACTTGCCTCGATAGATGTTCCCAAAATTTCGAATTCAGCTCTATCGGTAAGCTGAAAATAAACATCAACCAATAAAAAAGAAGTGAAAAAAGGAGTTGCATGTATAACAACAATCATTTTGAAACATTTTTGGTACCTCGTGATGACCCTGAGGGTTTGGTTGATCATTTCGATCAAAACTATCCACAATAAGCGTCCCACCTTCCAACAAATCAACAATTACTACAATGTAGATGTTGTCAAATTGGCGAGCAAACTAAATAAACTGCTCAATCATAAACTTATGAAGTCAAAAATTTGACATTATTACAAATTATTACAAGCCAAAAGACAAGAGCCTGAGCTTTGCCTTCAAAAGCAAAGCTCAGGCTCTTGTCTTGTCTCGCAATTTTCTTTAACTAGTGTAAATAAATTTTTTTTACTTCCTCTACGTGCTTGTATCGTAGTTTTAAACAATCCGGATACTGTGTCGAGTTTTCAAAAACCCATGGATATCCATAACTGTTTACAGTGAGTCTCGAAAAACTATCTGTAGTATCCGATTCAAAGAGCAGCGGTGTTTCCTCTAAAGTATAGCTTTGTCCATTTAAATAGCATTGAAATGATTTAAGAAATAGAGTACCGATAAATTTTTATGTAGTTTATAGTTTCTTTGAAAAATCTTCTCTCACTTTCCGTTGTCATTTGAAAAAGCAAGCAAAAAGCGCAATCCGCATTTGTACCATCGATGAGGGATGATCTTACCGAAGTGACTTTTGCTCGTGAATGAACGTAAGTACCGCCGCTGAAAATCGTTTGACAAGATTCTTTGCAATAGATTTCTGCTGCTTCAAATAATTTCAAATGTTCAAAACCAAAAAAATCATATTATAAGGGTTTACACTCACCTTATAACCAGAAACCCTTCATACCAAATATCATGAATGTATTTCAAGCCTAGTGCCGATCCAAAGTTCATTGTGAAAAGCGGATATCCTTTACAAGTGATGTCTGTCTGAGATAGGAAATTTTTGCATAGCATTTGAGAAGTAAAAACCTACCATGTACTGATGGCACAAATGCTGTTCTCCTTCTTCAATGGTTGGCGCAAAGCGGATGAAGGGTCCATCTGTTATACTGAAAAGTGCTTTGGTTAAGAAGATTTATTTGAAAAGTGATTTCGTTAAGGTTCATTTGCAGCAAAAAGTTTACCGTTTTTATTAAAGATTTGGGTTTTTTCTTTGGTTGTAAAGTGTTAACTGTTTTCAGCTATCTACATTCAGACAACTTACTTATCAAAAGCGACCGGATGTGCCACTAGAGTAGCGGTTGTATTGGCTGGTATGAGCAACTCGTGGATTTTGCCGTCAGGGCTCATTGGTATGACAAGAACGGGTTTACCTGAGGGAATGTTCAAGCTTAAGGCAGAAAATTGGAAGCATTTTCATCTTTGTTAATAGAAAAATTAATTTTGAAACTTTCAGTAAAGTCTTGAAAAAAAAATTGATTACCATCAACCCATTCGGCAACTCGAAAAGATATTGCAAACTCAAGACTTCTGTCGTTTGATTCATTCGTATCATTTGACGCGAATCGAACCAAAATCGTGTCTGTTTTTAACTCGAAATGACACACGAAGAGAGCAAATTCAAAGTTGGCGCCAGTCGGACTAAAAAGAGAATTCTTTCTTTAGGATTGGATGTTGGTCTAAAATGTTATTTTTGTTCAAAATTGAAGACATAAAATCTCTGCATTTGTCAATGTAAGCACAGTATCAAAAACAAAAACTTTTTGACTCACATAGCCTTATCGCATTGATAATAATCTGGCCTCAAATCATTGACAAAAAACGGAAGTGGATCTGCACACACTGGAATCCGTCCGCCAGCTCCAACCCAAAAGTATTAGGCGTAAATAAATGATTGGTTGTAACTAGAGATACATAACAGTGAAACGATCTTAGCGACGCGTTTCCAATGTAACGAAAACTGCAAAATTTCAGCGAAACTGTAATAGTTTAGAGATTTCACCCGATTCCTCCCAATAGGCCTTAATTTATCCGATTTATTTTTTGTTTCTGTCCCCACATCAATAGTTTAACTTCAACGGGTGAACAGATATCGATCATTTTGTAGAAAAATTAATTTCTTAACGCTAATTAACGGTAATTGACAGAAATTGTAACGAAAACTGTAACATTTCAGCACAAATTCCCTCACTAGTTGACTTTTAAGTTCTCGAATGAACTCTCATATGATGGTAATATTGTAAGAGTGCAGAGTTTTCGATCATTTTTGAGGGCTCTTAAATGACCATTTACCGTTAAGCATCTCTAGTTGTAATAGTATAACATATGGCATTAAGTTTTCTGTTCCTTTGTAAAAAAAAGTCTACCCCTTCACCCGGCTCAGGCGGCACGCTACAGTTGAACCTTGAATAGTCGATCAAAAACATCGCATCTTTCGGTCCTTTGAGTTCAATTGGCTGAAAAAAACTTTTCTCACAAATTTTCTTCGAGAACTTTATGATTCCGCAGGTCAATTCGTATCTAAATTCAATGAACTGGATCAACAACATGCAAGTGTAATAGTAGTTTTTGTTGGCTCAGGTTCGTTGCACAAGCAAATCTCTAGTTGTAAATAAATCGACCTGCGGACCAGTCCGATAACAAGCTTTTACAGAAATATTCAATTTACAAGTATACAAGCATAAAAAATTATTCAATTGCTATAAGCATTTAGCCATTTCATGGTTTCAATCACTTCTTTTGCCAACTCCCATCCATGAACGGCAAATGACGGGCTCTCTTCGGTTAATTGAATGCTTCTCCCATACAGTCGACCAAAAAATAGCCAGAGCAATGAGAAAATTTGATAGGCGAGTCCAAGCGGCATAGCAGAAAGTTTTGGTCCACTAATAAGCTAATTTGTTGAAAGTGCAAGTATAACTGTTAGATCACTGGCAAGCGGGTTCTAAATAATGATTTATCAAGCTAGATCAAGGCTTAATTTTATTCATTTTGACTATTCAAACAGAGGATAGCCTGAAAATATAAGAAAAACATTCATGAAAACAAAAATAGTCAAAAGAAACTTGCTATCAGTTACCATGAGGTAGGGCGGGCTTTGGGTGCCCTTAGTTTTTTATCATTTTCTTTTTTAAGCCACGTTGGCGGATCACTGATAGTGTCAGTCAAGTTTTTTAAGGTTCAACTTTCAAAGATTTTTTAAATATGAGGGTCGAGTTTGATCAATTGATTTTGAGACATGACTTCTCTCGTTAAAAGTTTCATTGTTACAGTTGTTATTGTGATTACAGTAATATCATTGTGGATGAGTTCAAAGAGAAGCAAAATAAAAGAAGAAAAATGGTAAATAGGGTGAAACACTTGTGCCTGGCATTGTCATAGTTGGTGATCTTAGTGTGGCTCTAGCTTTTCAACATAAGCACGAAGCAAGACTCTTTCAATGGTACTATTTGGTGGACTCGTCGGTGTCCAGCTGATTTGAAAAATTTGACAGAAAATCTGACTATCCTTTTTTAACGCTGAAGCTATCGATATACTTTGCTTTATCAAACAATCTAGACTATTCTTTCTTGCTCAAATTTTTCTTGCGGCTGGATAAGTAATATTAAGTGGCTTGTCAATTGAACCCATAAACCTGAATCAATATCTTATTTATGAGTTTCACTATTACAGTCGTTGTTGTGATTAGAGTAATTGCTTTAAACGTTTAATGCAAAATCTAAATCACTTTTTTCAACCTAAAAACATATTCTTAACTCATAGGCAAAAAGAAACATGCAAAAAGCGTTGTTTGAGCTCTCATTTTGACGTTTTCTCACTCTTCAAGACAAAATCGCCGGATAATGATCGATTTAGTGCCGACTCATTGCTACTGACAGCAAGTTTTTTTTTAAGGAACTACTTTTTGCAACAAAGACTAATGGTCTTCATTTGCTCACAAACTATTCTAACTATAAGGTGTTGCTAAACTCGAAAAGTTTAGTTCAATGTGTTTCAAGTAAAGTTCAAAGGCATTTTAGCTCATTCTGTTTGAGAAACTTTTATTTCAAACTACAAAATAATAATAAAAGTAAGAGGCAATAGGGAAAATTTATAGAATCAGCCTTCACGGGAGTAATTGTTGGTGATTTCAGCATGTTGCAGACCTTCTCTAGATAAACACGAAGCAAAACTCCTCTCCTTGGTATTTGCGGGTGAATCCGACGGTGTCCAGCTAATCTGCAAAAACTAATGATTCCCTATTTCTTAGAAAAAGAGAACAAGAATTGGAAAACAATGTTTGATCTTTTAAGAAATTTTTTATCAGAGCTGTGAGTCAGACTTGTAGTTTTGAAGAGGTTTTTGAAGAGGTTAGGGCACAATATGCGGATAACGGTCGATTTAAGGCCGACTCGTCGATGCTGATAGGAAGTTTTTTGAGAAACTTCGGCGTCGAACAGAAACAAATATTTCTTTTCTCAAAAAACTACAAACTAGTGTGGTTAAAATTGAGAAATTTAGTTAGAGGTGTTTCAGACGGTTAGAATTTGCAATATTCTTTGCAAAAGCCTAGCCAGTATTATTAAAGCCGTTTTTGGAAATTATCTGAATTCGTTTGATGTTATTCAGATTCCGCGATAGTTCAAACGCACTTCAGACCAATGTTCTTATAGAAATTGTATTTCAAACTACAAACGCTATTAATAAAAGTAAGAGAAAATAAGGAAAATTCATAGAATCAGCCTTCACGGGAGTAATTGTTGGTGATTTCAGCATGTTGCAGACCTTCTCGAGATAAACACGAAGCAAGACTTCTTCGTTATTATTTACAGGTGGATTCGACGATTTCCAGTTAATCGGTAAAGTATTTTTCTTCTAAAAATCAAAAATCTTCCATATCAAGTATTTTTCTTATGAAAATAGTCGATAAATTACTGTTATCATTTACTTTTTTGCTGAGGTCTCGTTAAACTTCACTACTTTACTTGTTAAATAAGTTGACTTCTAACAACTCCAGTCTTTCTTACCAAAATAATTGTGGTTCTAGGGTCAGACACATAGCGTGATTGGCCAATTGATTCCGTAAATCTAACTTACTGAATTATTTGCTAATATACAACCGCAAAGACTCTTCTCTTCTGAACACTTCTCCTTCACTACCGGTGAAAGAAATATTGAGGAGACCGGGAGTTATTAAACGAACAATTTCGATTGTGAGATATTCACAATCGAGATTGTTCGTTTAATCTCTCCTGGCCACTGGCCACGAGTCTAAAAGGTTAATTTAACACATTCGCGACGACCTGACCCACCGGTGGGTCAGCTCAAAATTTAAAAAATGGGTAGATTAAGCTGAAAATTTGTATACGCGGGTTTTCGGGGTCGGGGAATTCCAATCCAGTATTAGTTTTTGGCTACAGTGTACTCGAAATAGGAGTACTCGTTACGGCCATTTTGAGCCGAACCTCGATATTAAAGAAACTTTTTCCTACTTGACCGATTTTGGTGCTTTTGATATCAATAATAATCAAGAAAAAGGATATCAAAAGAACCCTGATATCTCTTCTAATAAAAAGTGAAGAGAGATCGCAAAAACGTTGGAAAATCGCAAAATTATTAAATTTCTTGTAAAAAAAATCCAGGTTATTTCGAAAAGTTTGAAAAATGCCGGAGGGCGCGTCGCCAAAATGAAAATTTTTATTTTTACGTAATCGCGTAGGCTTCTGACACAGGGTTTTGCGATATATTCACTATAAACGTAAAAGATTTTTCGTAATTTTGATCACTTTCGGTTGAATTACCCCGCTTTGCTTTAGCAACATAAAATGTAGTGTTTCGGTAGGTATTTCGATTTTCCGTAGATATTTCGCGTAAGTATTTCGGTTGCATTTGGGTTTCCCACCCCGGAAAACCACCGGGTGCACGTTTTGAGCTTCTTCTAAACTATTTTTCAGCTAAAGTACGCGCTACTACTATTTTCGGCCTCAGGGGTTACTGTAGTTGAAAGCTAAAACCGGATTCGAGCTCCTCATCCCAAAAAACCCCAGAGCAAAAAATTTCAGATCTACCGCTAGCCTAGAACCCTGTTGTCCGGATGGACTGGATTTTGATTTTGGACTGGTTTTGGATTTTGGTTTTGATTCTGATTTTGGACTGGATTATCCAATCAAGCTCTATTTGGTATCATTTGAAAGCCTGAAATGTCCTCTATACAATGATATAAAAGTTAACAAAAATATTATCTCTGGAGAAAGTTGTAGGCCTGGAAAGAGTGGCAGCCCGTTCAAAATGCCCAGATTCTTTCAAAATATCCGGAAACTACGCAAGCGTCGAAAGTTTTGGTTCACCAATAAGCTAATTTGTTGAAAGTG